CTTTTTCTTCAATTAAAATTCTTCTTTTAAGAACCTGATTGCTTTTTCATTGTTCTTAAGATCCAAGGGTTTGGGTCTGTGTTCACCTATGTAAATTGGTGAGGATTTTTTATCAAGCCTTCCCCAGGAAAGGGGGTGTAGTGCTTGGGGGGAGATATTTTGTCGGGGGGGGGGGGGAAGAAGACTTTTCCAAGTGGGCTCTTTCCCTGTTAGACGCTTGGTGGTGGCAGCAATAAAGTCCAAGGGCAAAAGGTAAAATAAAATAGTTTGTACCTTGGGGAAGTTTTAACCTAAGCTGGTAAAAATAAGCTTAGGGGATTTTCATGCCGGTCCCCACATCTGTACCCTAGAGTTCAGAGTGGGGAAGGAACCTTGACAGTACCTCAATAATTAATTTGTGATGCTTGAAACCACCCAAGCTCTGTAGCTATTGAGCAATTTCCTGAGGTCATGAGAAGCTTCTCTTATTGTTGTACAGGGCCTATTTACTATTGGAAGCATGGATAAGCCTCCAAATGTATTTTTAAAAGACAGGATACCAGTTAGGGGTGGGTGAAGTGATTCAGATAAAACAAATATCAACTCAGATCCTCAGCCAAAATCTAAGCCAACCCTGAACCAAACGGAAAAAATTCAGTTAACTTTTCTTTTTTCACTTTGATACATTTTATTGTATCACTTCCTGTTTTCAGCTGGAAGCAGAAGAACCAAAATACGGTTAGAAAATATCATGTGAGTGTAGTTCCAAATCTCTCCTAACAAGATTTCCAGGCTGCTTTCTGGACCAAGGAAATACTGATATGTGATTATTATGCTGATGGAGCCTCCAAACTTACTGAGAGGTTCACCCATCATTTATATCAAGATATTTGAATAAACACAAGTAATGTGGTGTTCAGAACCTGAATATTATAGAGGAAAAATGATTAAACCTCTCACAATTATACAAGTAGTTACATGAGAGAGAGCATGCATGTGTGCATTGTGTTGCTAATTATTTAGTTAAATATCTACAGGAGTGGCATTTGTGATCATGATGAGCCTAACCATCACTTTTGTCCATGGCCTACTCAACACTTCACCACCCCCGCCCCCCATTTTAAGTAAAATAGTATGATGTTTTGCTATTTCTAAAGCCATCATTATAAAAACCAGGCATCTGAGAGGTCTGGCATCCAAACTGCCTGTAGTATTGTCTCCTTTGCACTTACACAGGTTCACTGCAGCACTGGCTGGTGATGTGTAATCACAGCTGAAATCAGCGTATTGATCACCATTCAGTCTCCAGCACTGCAAGAGCTGGTGCTGAGCTTTTAATAATGTGAATAAATAATTAGTTACACATTTTCAAGTTCCCCCACTTCCCACTAACTCTCCACGTGGGAGGAGTGCGTGTTTGAAACGGGACAGGGATTGCACACTGTAAAGTGTTTTAACCAGTGGAATCTCACTTTATTTATTTGTTTGGGAGAACTGTAAGGGAGAGCTGAGCCCCACTGTGTAATTTTTCAACATATGATTGTATTGACTGGACTCTTACTCCATGATCTCCTCTGTATCTTTGATTACAGGGGAACATTGAAAGAGGAAGGAGGAAGTACAGACTCCAGAGATTAAAAAAAGAAAACCGTCAATAAGCAAAAAAAAGGTGCAAAGTGAGTTTGCTTGGCTAATTGCATATAGCGTAGAACTAATGTTGTATATTAATTTGGTGGAAGACATTGCATAGAATTGACCCTCTAGGAAAGAAATCAAAGTTCATAGGGACTGTGACAAGCAGGGCTTGAAGAGTAAATATTTAATGGAAATACTTCTGTCCTTGCCTATGAGATTAAGATGATTGACTTATTTTGAGAAGAGGAACTTTGTTTTCCCTTTGCCACCCCTACAACTTCCCCTTTAATTTGAGCTTTGATAAACAGTCTGGGTGGAGAGAACCTATCGCATGTGCTGATAGTTTATAACAATGTCCTTATGACCAAAACACGCTTTCTTGTGCCCGTGTCCAGCCCCAGAAACATGGTAACAAGGTGTTTTCTATTTTAGTTATCTCACTGCATCTTATTCATAGATTATGAGGCCATTAGGGACCACTGTGAACTTCTAGTCTGACCTTCTGTATAATACAGGACATAGGATTTCCCTGAATTAATTGTCTTTCTACAGCTTATCAATACTATTTCTTGCTGTGGTGACTTCTGGGTTGTCCACACACAAGAAAATGCACTTGCATAAATGAGTACTAATAGAAATAATGATTTCAGAAGTACTCCCTCCCCTTGTAGTGAAAAAGGGCCCTTTGTGCATTAGAAGGTATTGGAAGGGATGATGTGTCTTCAGATATATGAGGAGTCAGTGTGCTGTGTGGTGACATCTGCTGGGATGGGCAAATAAGGGGAAATCACAGGAGTGTGGCCTGCAAATCATAGTGCCTGAAAATCCATAAAAGTAACAGGGCCATTATGGAGACAAGGTGGGTGAGGTAATATCTTCTATTGGATAAACTCCTGTGGGTGAGACACAAGCTTTTGAGCTTATACAGAGCCCTTCTTCAATAAAAGCTATTACCTTATCCACTTTGTCTCTCCAAGATCATGGGATGAACACGGCTACAACAACACTGCATAGGGCCATTATTGATAGATGGAGCTCAGGGCATCAGCATTAAATTCATCCAGTGAGTTTTCTTGCTCCTAGTTGCTGATAATCTTTAATAACATCTAATAATTTGCATTTAAATTGTGCTTCCCATCTGCAAAGGTATTTTTTATAAACATTATGGGCCACATCCTGACACCCTTACTCAATGGAGTGGGACCTTATAGTGAGGGAAGTCCTCATGAAGGAAATGGGACTCAATGTGTGTAAGGGTGACAGAGTCTGGCCCTTAGCACCTGATGTTCAGAAAGGTAGGTTCATAATCATACACACACAAATGCACGTATAATCTACATCAACAAATTTCTTGGCTCTCACCAGGCCTCTTTTAAGTCTCCCACAGCCCTGTCTCAGTCTTGCCTGATGTATGTACTTCCTCTCCATTCAGTGGTCTGTGCAAGCCACAGAGAAGGGTTTCAGGGTAGCAGTGACCTTTGTAGCAAATTACCATGTACACCCTGTGATGGGGCTCCAGCCCTACATGGGGCTCTAAGGGGTTAATAGAGCCCTAGGGAGGCTGTGCAGGAGGCAGCCAATCAGAGCAGTCAAGCAGGGCCAAGCAGGCCCATATAAAAAGGGAGCTGCAGGACAGGAGTGCAGTTCTCTGCTGGGAGCCCAGGAAGGAAGAACTGTGTCCCTGGAGGGCTGAGAGAACTGCCTGCACCCTGGACAGAGCAGTGCAGCTAGCAGGGACTGGGAGAGCAAGAGATGGCTCCTGGCTGGCTGCTGGGGTTTGCAGGCTGAGGCCCTGAGGCAAGGGCAAAGAAGATGCTGGGGCCACGAGGAAGCGGCCAGACAATTTGCTGCAGTAGTCACTAAGGAAAGTGGCTGAACAACAGACTGCAGATCCCCTGGAAGGAGGAAGCACAGTGTGTTGCATGGCCAGAGGGATGTGTCACTGAAGAGGATGCCACGGTCCTTGGAGAGACGTGGGTTCTAGAGCAGGAGTGATAGTGGTGAGGCAGCACCCGAAGAGGGTGCACTAACATGTGGAGCTTATCCCCAAGACAGCCAGAAGGAGGCACCAGAGTGGTGAGTGAGCCCCGTTACAACCCCACAGAATTACCCCCATGGACTTGATTACAGTAGGCCTAAAATCTGAATCTTTCTGCTAGATCTCACGACTATAGGACACAGGTCTTCAACGTGGTGGTTGCAAACAGGTGTTAGAGTGCGTGTCTCTATGGGAAGGGGGTGTGGTCCAAGCACTCTATTGATCCACTATTGTTGAAGGAGAGGGAGTCCTGCCTAGAAGGCGGGGACACTTGAAGATGATCCTGGTATGAAAAAGTGGGTTGTGTTATGTAAAAGGTGGAGAACTCCTACTGTAGGACTTTGCTAGTGTTAACAAAGGCAAGGATTTAACAGAAGCTTTGACTTTCCCTCAACCTACTAATTCATCCATGCATAATGTGGGCCGCAGAAATATGAAGAAAAGACTCAGCACTGAGGGGTGACTGCAGATCTTGAAAGAATATGCCGGAGAAAGAAATGCAGGGTTTTTTTGTGTGTGCGTTTGTTTTTAAAGCTAACTATAGACTTCCCTGGCTCCTTAAGGGGAAGAACGGCAAGTAGAGGAGCACTTGTGGGTCTTTATATTGTGGTGATGGTAACTTTATTAGGTAATCATGGTACAGTGATGAGCACAATCTGGTTTAGACACATAGAATTTCCTTGTTCTGTGGAAGACCTGATGGTTCCATCACATGGAGGTGCGAGGTGTAATTAGAGCACTGTTAAATGAAATGTATGGGGACTTTGTACAGTATGTTCAGTGCCACTTTTCTTCTCTAAGCTTAATTTACAATTGACTTTTTAGCGGATATCCTATTTGGTGCTTGTGGGGAGCAGCTAGTTTAGTGAGTTTCTTTGTCCTGGGGAACTAGATGGGCTTGGCAGCTAAACTTTATAAATGTGTGTGAATCACGCTGCCCCAAGTACTTGGCTTTCACATGAGTCACAATTTTTCTGTCATCACATCCAGCAGTTACAGTTCCTTCCTGTGGTAGCCTCTGTGGGCTCATTATCCTTGGGAGCTGCAAAGAGCTGTTTGAACACAGACTGATGCACACGTGGGTGGTAATGAGAAGTGAGGGTTCAGAAACATAATCGTGCTGTAATGCTATGTAAACTGAAACTGATGAGACATCTACATTGTATAACAAAACTGTCAGCTTTATTGTGTAGGTATTTAGTTGGCTTTTTAATTAAGATAATCAAAGCCTCTTGACCTGTGGATTACCTTAGACCTAAATTATGCAAGAAGGGCCCTTTCCCTGGCCCCTGTCCACTAGCAACTTGACCATGTACATTTTTCAGTGAAGAGGTTCCAAAGTAAGGCTTTCTTTGGTCTCCTCAATTAGCCCTATCTACTCTTCCCAGCTTCCAGCTGACCACAGTCTGCTTCCCCACTGCAGCGTTCCTTCTAGAAGTCTGCAAGCTCCTGAGCACCATAGGAACAAAGCCCCATGGACTTTTCTACAAGCTGCATCTAATATTTGGGGTAAGAGACCCTGGTTTCTGTGATGCCTCCATGCAGCGAGCCTGAAATTCTGGAACAGATTCAGGTATCTTTGGAATTTTTTGTTTTTTAATGTGAATTAAGTACAAAAATAAAGCATATGTTCTTCATATAGTTTATTTTGAAATTAGCTTTAGATTTTCCTGCAGTGCTTGGTGGGCCACAGGTATCTGTACTGATAATGCATAACCGTATTGCCCAATTATTTTGTGAGAATTTTCAGATTAAGAGGGAGATATTAGTGTGGCTGAAAGATAAATGACAATCAGGATTAAACATTTCAAGTGTAGTAATTTACGTTCGTAAAGAGCCTGTCTTCCTAAACACACTATGTGTATTAAAACACCACTGAAATGTAGTCACTTGTAACACTTGGGGAGGGTAAATTTAAAACCTGCATGGCATGAATGAAGCCAGTGCAATCTTGGAGGTATGGCGTCATATGCTCCCTGAAGCTTACACCTCTTGAGTAAACAAGTTGCTGTATTCTGCACCACTTCTATATGGTCTTCAAGTGTCAGTCTACAGTTCTCACTGGAGTATTTCACTCTGGGAGTGACAAAGGCCTGGATTTCTGTCATTCAGAAAAATAATTGTAATCTTCACTCTATTTATGAATAATAAACGATACATCTGGCTGCTACAGCAAATTGCCATTCCTGGGGCATTTAGGGATTCAAAAGAATTGTCCAGAATAAGAACTCCGTTGGCAAAGGGTGTACAGATGCCATTCCTATAATACACTAAGGGTGGAATCCACCTCTGTACAGAGTCCCAGAAAAGATCAGTGACCAATTCACTTTATTTTGAGGTCTTAAGTAGTACATAGGCCTTTTGCTGGCTCTCTGCCCCAAGGTGAATTTCACCTTTATTGCTTCCCTAACCCATCTAGAATCCTCTCTGTCCTATCTGAATTGAGCTTCAGACAACTCATTCTCATCTAGGTCCAAAACTTGACCAGGTACCCGGATTGCAAAGACATTGCCATGTCTGAGTTCAATAAAAAGATGCCTGACATCTGCATATTGATGACACTATGGCCCGACAGGCTTCGCTGTTTCCCCGAGCAACCCTATATATGTGCTGGGCAGCCGGTGAGACAGAACAGACCCCTGAAGAAGCCTGCCCAAAAGAACCCCAAGGTGAAATCCTGACCCTATTGAAGTTAATGGGAGTCTTGTCATTGACTTTGATGGGACTATGATTTCACTCCCGATGTGCACTATAGCAAAGAGAACCTCAGTTTTTAAGGTCTCCTTTGATAGCCATGCACATAGTAAAGTGTGTGGCGTTCAGTGTGTTTACTTTGGAAGGATCAGGGGCTGAGTCAGTTCTATTGGGATTCACACTTGTGGTTCCATGGATGACTATTATTTGATTATATAATGTTTATGTTGCAGTAACATCAAGATGCCAAACTGACTGGGGCCCTGTTGTGCTAGACACTCTAGAAACCTAGTAAATTGCAGTCCCTGTCCCAAAGAGCATACGGTCCAGATGAGTTAGACCAGTAACTCCTCTCCCACTGACACACAGTCATCTCATGCATGACTTGTAATTATTAAAGATAATGAGAGTCACATCCTCACAAAGAAACACTATGGCCCTTGGTGTGCAGACAGTAGTTTTATAGATTACAGTATTGCGCTTCCGACAGTAATAAAAAAGGATATGTGCAGCAAACAGGATACAATCTGACAGTTCACAAGATAGGCAAGGCTCTCTCACCGGAAGGGTTACAGAGAGGTGAATTTCTCATTATTGCTAAAACTTTGTCCAAAAAGTATTTACATATGCTTAGTTTGAGTTTGGCAGGAAGTTTTAAGGCAAAAACAGCGTGCCCTTCCGTCCCTGGTATATTTAAAAGCTCTTTCAGTGTGAGTCACTGGAGTTCTGTGGTTTGTGTATCCTGAAAGGAGAAAAGACTCTGTGTGATTATCAGGCATTACAAGCAGCTAGCTGTTCTTTTCTTTAAAAAAACAACAACTTCTGATAAGGAAGTTCATTATTAGGTAGGAAGTGTTTGCTGGTGGAGTTATACTTTTTCTGTGTCGCTGTTACTGCCATTGTGAACATACACAGACCTATATTGCTTTTACTTCTTAGCCCTGTACTTTTCCTGATGTGTTCCCTTATTGCAACAAGAGCAAACCCCCTTCTGGGTGAGCTGAGCCAAAGACAACATGCTGCAGAGCATCTGGAACGATTCTGTGTCGACCAACCTACTGCACTGTCATACAGTGATACTGTTTGAGCTACTACCGGGTCTCAGACTGCTTTCTACTAGCTGAAATTCAGTGACAGAAAGAGGGATGTCATTCTTCACCGAATGCCCATAACTGCAACAATGACTTCTCAACCGCTATGCCTTAAAAATTCTTCAAAGAGCATTGAATTCACAATGGGACTTTCTCATAATGGCTCTTGCATAGTGTGTTCTGCACCACTGTCTGACATATTCTCTTTGAGTCAGGTCTATAGCCTGATGAAGACCATAAGAGGCAAAGGTCCTGTCACTGAGTTTTATCTTAGTGAACCAATGCAATGTGAATGGCATAATTAAAACTGAGTTTTATTCAGTCACTTGCATTGATGTCCAGTGTCTGGTTAGCCCAAGATGGAAATCCTCATATTATTCAGAGAAGAATTTATTTGTAAAAAGCCATTAGCAGAAACGTCTCACTAAGGAGGTAGCTCTCTCATCTAGCAAGAATTACCTGGGTTTTTATGACTGACATGGCCTATTGTGGTGTTTAGATGTTGCTTGTAATTATTAGAATTGGGAGCACTGGCTGTTGGGAGTCTGAAAGGACAGAAAACGGGAAGGAGGGGGGAGGAGTTGAGAGGCTGGGAGAGAGCTACAGAGGGTGCAGCAGCAGCTTGGTAGAGGTTTCCACTTTGAAAATAAAGTCCTGTTGAGGCCTGATAGTACCTTGCCTGGTTGATATAACACCTATCTCAGAACAGACTGAATAGGGAAGCCCTATTAGCAAGACCTTTCTTTATGTTAAGATAGAGGCAGAAGACAACTCCACAAGACTAACAGCTGATTAGTTAAGCAGGAACAAGATTATAAAAATGAGTCTTGCCCTGGAGAGTTGTGGTGCCTGAGCCTAGCTTACAGAGGTTAAATAATGGGGTTCAATGCGTAAAAGCTTTTCTTCCCAAAAGAACTTCAAACTGCTTTATAGTCTTGCTTGCTTGCTATACAGGAGGACCCTAACTTTAGGAGGCTCTTAGAAGACCAAAAAACTTTGCAAAATCAGATGTTTGGGTTGTAGTGTATGTAGGCTGTGTTTCAAATTCTGCATTCTTAAAAGTAAAGCATGTTAGATATTGTTTTCTGTTTATTTTCTTTGTCTTTTAAAAGGACTATTGCAGGTAAATATGTCTGTAAAATATACTGATAGGTATAAAGCTTTCGGGTGTGTGTGTGTGTGTACACAAACTGTAAGAACAGAGGTTCACAGAAAACTGGAAGAGTATTGTTCTAGATTACACTATAGATGCCTGAGGTAGCATTGTTATATATAGAGTCGTGTGTACACAGGTATTTGGTGTAATATTAATATTCATAGATAAAGTTACAACTAGTTGTGGATGGGGTTTTTTTTCACACTTTTAGGAACATGAGCATTGTTTTAAAATGAGTTATACAGGTGTTATTTATTCAGTGTGAATAAGAAGTGATAGTTTTGTCAATATGCTACAGTGTACTTTTAGATTAAAGTAACTGATATCTGTAATTGGACCTTAACAGTAGTTCTCAGGCGAAGGCCCAACCGTGATTTTTATCTTGACAATGGTCTTTTAATAATTAATAATATTTAGCACATATTTATAACAGCTTTTATTCTCTAAGGGTGGTTGAGCTCTTAGCTAATTTCATTTTTATGGAAGATGATCAACTCTTTTGTCCATGCCTGTAGAAGATTTAGGAAGTCATTATTAAATACAGTACAACACTGTGCCAAGGTCTGAGAGACATCCAATCCTTTGGTTAAAAGGATTAAAGATGAAGGGGAGAGCCAACCAGTAGGATATAGAAAGGCTGAGTTCTGGCTGTGAAATCCTGCCTCCGCTGATGTCAATGGCAAAACTCCCTTTGACTTTAATGGGGCCAGGATTTCACCCTTCGTTCCTAACTCAGGAGCGAAATGAAGAGAAGCTTTAAAGATGGCCAGTCTGGAAAGCAGGCAAATATTCATACTCACTACTGTCTTGAAGGGTATCATCAAACTCTGGTTAACCTAGTTTCTTTTATAGCTGGATTTCAATTACCCAGGTTTGCATAGCATTGAAAAGGACATTGATCCACCTTAGAACTGGATAGAGGTAGTTCATAGCCTCCTGAGGCATACTCAGAAAACTGTCCATATACACTATTGGATTCTTTGGAAATGGATGTGGTAATTGTAACTAAAACATGCCACTTAAGTACCCAGGCAGAATTTGATGTGGAAGCAATTTGTAGCAACGTTTATTACTGCTTAATTGGCTGTTTGATTTTAAAAAAATGTAGGACCTAGTTTTGTAATACATGTTCAAAACCTATCTACATGTCTCAGGACCTCAGGGGGTCTACTCACATATGTAATGATTGCTCAACATGTATAAGATTAGCAAATTTGTCCGATAGTTAATTGCCATCCATTATGAATGAGACATTTTAAGGTTATAAATAAATAAATGATGACCGCAGCAGAAAAAGTACTTGATGTGGATGTAAAATATTAAATAGAAAATGTTTACTGGTGGATGTGGTGATCTTTTTATTGTTGTTCTCTATCACATGGTCCAAAGTTTCTCTTTTCTTTTGCACATAGTATCTCCTCTTTGCAGCCTGGAGTGAAACCAGCGGAAGAAAATGAATGCTCCTTTATTTCAGTGTATGAAATTAAATGTCTCCGGAGAAACAGAAAATATGATTAGGGGTCAACTTGTTGGTTCAAGTGCTATGACTCTGAGCCTTTTGTGTTTGATTCAGAGCCAATGGAAGTGAGCTGGAGTCCATATCGTGCCACTCCATCACCATTGTCAATAACTGGCACTCTTCTTGTCATTCTCAATAGACAAGGATTGGCTAGAACTGCCCTCTCATCTATGCAGGTGAGCTCCAGAAGAGAGCTGAGCCACACTACTGGGGTTCTGTAGAGAGGAAAGGAGGTTTTGATTCCCAAGTCTATCAGTATCGTACTTTTATGAGTTCTTAATTTAGAAATCAATAGAATTTTTTGGAGGGAATAAGCCAGTTTTTGGAGCCTTTCTTGAGGTGTAAAAAATGCACAGAAACATAACAAGTAAGAAAAGTTAAGTGACTGGCTGAAGGTCAGAGAGAAAATTGATAGCAGAACCGGGAACAGAACCCCAAAGTCCTAGCTTCTAGTCCTCTGCTCTGTTGACTACATAGAATACTTCCCAGGCAAGAGTGCACGAAGCAGAGATGGCTGATAGAACCACTGCAGAGACCCAGTTAAGTACAGACTTCCTGTTTTCATACAGATTTCAGCTGGCACTGTGCTGTTAGCAAAATTAGCATTTTCCCAAGATTTTCTCTCTACCTCGCCTGTTCATTCAAGCACTCCAGTTAGGAAATGACTCTTCACAATAAAGATGAATAGTGCAATATTAATGACACCAACATCCTGGCTTTAGTCAGCCATTAGAAGCTATGCAAAGCTGGATACTTATACTCTTATCTGAGCTTAGCAAAATAAGCATTACTGTTTGTAAGCTAGATGTTAATAGAGGGGTTACATTTGGTTGGTTTTTTTTTTGTTTGAATTAATTTAGTGATATATATATATCACATCCTCATGCCTCATCTTCAGTACAACACACCCCTACTATTGCAGTCCTGGAGACTTCATGCAGATCTGCCTGCAATGGTTTTAAAATGTACACAGCTAGAGATTAGTTTGAGATGATCAGTGCCATCATACTTGTGATTTCAGCCAGGGCATGAACTCATGTCCTCCAAAATGAAAAGTTAGTACACAAAACCACCATACCGCATATTCCTCCTTACTTTTGTTTTTTTAAATTTGGGTTTTCTCTATTGATTGCCATTGTTCATATAATGCCACACTTGTTTATTTTTACTGTATATTATCAGTATATAAGACTATAGATGTGTAGACTTCAAGGATAATAATACTTAGCATGTAGATTGCACCTTCCATCTGAAAATTGCAAAGGGCAGCCCAAGCATCCCTTGGCACACCTGTGAGGTGGGAATGAATGTATTTTTAGCCTCATTTTGCATATGCAGAAAACGAGGCATAGAGAAGGGAAGTGACTTGCCCAAGATTGGATAGCAAGTTAGTATGAGAGTTCAAATTAGAACCAAAGTGTCCTAACTTAGTCTTGTGTTCTAGCCACTCCATCTGGATGCCGCCCTACTGCTCCACACTTCCTTTTATAATATCACAAACTAGGTGACAAAAGTTGGATTCAGATCCATTTGTACAGGTTAGCAGGCCATCCCTTTAATGACCTCGTTTTGCTTTCAGCATTTTATTTCGGGTAGATGAAATGGAGTTGTCAATGGATTTGAATATGATGCCTAATGCATATGTTTGTGCACACTATAGGTGCATTTGTGTGTGTGTGTGTGCGATTCCTACCTTTTGGAAAATCAGGCTCTCGGGGCCAGACTCTGCCTCTTTTACACACCCTGAGACCCGTTTCCTTCATTAGGGTTGCTCCCAGAATAAGGTCCCACCCTTCTGAATAAGTGTGGCTGGTTGTGGCCCTTAATGTTCATAAAAACCTCTGCAGATGTAAAGCACTATTTACATGCTAATTCTAATGTGTTATTAAAGGTGATCAGCAAATAGGAATAAGAAAAATTCTTTAACTTTGAAAAAAGAAATCTTCCCCAAGTAAAGTAGGAGGAATTTTCACAATATAACTTTAAATTAAAGATTTTTGGGGTCACAAAGGCATATTTCACCATTTTGCACACTCGCTGACCCATCATACACTGTGCTGATGGCATTATATCTTCTGTGGAACACACCTGGAACAAGACAGGCAGCAGAAACTGTTCTATTAGGGGTAACCCTGCTTTAGTATATTTTGTAGTATTTATAACACACTGGCTATGCTCACTCTGAACTGAACAAGATATCAAAGAAGAAACAATCCCTGCAGGCAAGCCTGAGCTTTTTTACCTGTAGTAATTATGATAAACAGAAATGGATGAACTTTTAAGAGGAGAGCTAGCCACACAAATGGCAATGAATGTGCCTGACAAACCAAAATTTTCAAGCTAGGGACTCAGCACATTTGAATATTTCTTGAAGATTTCTTCTATATAATAAATTCAGGAGAGTGAACAGTCCTTGTAGGGCAATTCTCCCTTTCCTTTGGAACTACTGTCTCTGATCTTTAGAGCTGTTAGTTCCAGATGAAGAAGATGCACAGATGTATATTGATATGCCTAGATGAATATCCTTGAACAGGGAGTTACTGCAGGGCAAACCTCAAGCCTTCTCCTCTCCCACCTTTGTCCATTGTTGATAACCCTGCCAGTGAAACAACATAACAAGGAGGTCCTCTCTGACTTCTCTATCTCCTTCACCATGCACACCCTGAGAAGTTACCAAATCTTGTTGTTTATTTTTCAGTACCTGGTCAGGTTACCCCATTCCTCTTTCTGGGTCCCTTTTTGGTTCCCCCGGCTCATTCTGACTTCTTGCCCTGACCTTCCAGGCCCTGCATGACTCTACCTGGCCTTGGGTCATGTTTCTCATTGCATTCTTCCTTTCCCATTTAACCCCACCAGTGACACCAACCTCATCACTCTGATTCCTTCTTTCTTCTGTCTTCCTTGCTGCCTCCCATGCATGGAATCACTTCTTATTTCCACTGCACCAGGCTCTCACCCTGTCCCCTCTGCTAAAGACCCTTCTTCAGCGGCCCACAAACACCAACCCATTTCAATGAAATGTCATCTCCACCATAGCATTTTAAAAAGGGGGACTGTAGGTAAAATGAACACCATATATTTATGGACAAGATGGATATTAACCTGAATTCAGTTCTCAGCTCTGCTATTGTCATTTTGTGACCTTAGGCACATCCCTTAATATCTCAAAAGCCAAATTGTATCTTAGTTCCCTATCAGTAAAATAGGAATAATAATCGACATGACGAAGGAAGTATTTAGCTTGTAAGGTCTCCGGGGCAGTGACTCTCACTTGCTACACTGCTGATCAGAGTCTAGGATAAGGGTGCCATAGCCTCGAGGCACAATTGTAATAGGAATAATATTTATTCTTATTTAATTTCTTCCTCTGGACCTCTCGTTGTGGCTTTTCTTTTCTATGTCTGTTGAAGACTCCTGGGGGAAGAGCTGTCTTTATTTGTATCTTGCACAGCATCAAGGACATTGCTGGTAGCTAATAAATAATTATTTCAGCAGGCCTGTAATACTCAAAGAGGTTATTGGAGAGCACATTGTGTTCTAAAAAGAGCAGCAACATAATGCTTATGCTGGTTACAAGACACCCAGAAAGGTGTTCTTTTGAATATGCGATCAGAAACAGATCTCACAAGTAAAGGAAAGCAAACAAACGGAGAAAACTGCCCACACAATGCTGAGGTGTTGGTACGGGAAAAAGTTCGCTTTATGATTGAGATTGCATTCCTCCATAAAACACCTGAAAGGATCAAAGTTAGACAGTATAAAGATGAATCAGAGTCTGCTGTGGTTAGTTTACTAACCACCCCCCCCCCATACTGAACAAGAATTCCTTAAGACTTCAAAGCGGAAGAAGTTAAGGTGTCGGGCCCTGATAAGCCCAACTTCTTTTGACACATAGGGACTCAGATGATGCAAAATCACAGCTCATCTTGCTTGTCACAGCCTTGTAATGAGGGAGTGGAAGGGATATGTGAGATAGCAAAAGGGGAAATAATCTAGAAGCTCTAAACTGAATTATTCTAGATCTCTCTGGGAAATGAAATTGTAAACCAAGTCATTGTAAATTAAAAACTGAAGTGAACCTTTTTTAAAGGGTTGGAAAAATATGTGGGAGTAGGCTCAGGCACATAAAGATAATTAAAATAGAAGGTAAGTAGAAGTAAACACTTTTAGAAGAATATGAAGGAAATTATTACTAGGATGCTATAATGCTTAAGTGACCTATTGAAATGTCTGTAGCATGTCAATAATAATTCTGGTATTCTCTTAAATAGCATAAAGTTGTCTAATTCTGCCTGTTGTGGTGGTTAATTCATGTGTCCCTAAGTATGTCTGTTTTCCTGTGTAACTGTAGAGCCTGCTCTTGTTTGCCCCCATGCATCCCTATTGTTTCCAAATTCTGTCCTCATTTTTGACTGTGTAGCCTCATTGTTTTCAGTGAGCCTGCACTAGTGGAAGTGTGTGCAGAATTTGGAAATTAGTTAACAATCTAACTCATATAACTGTGTTGACTCTACAGGACTAATTGTAGTAAAATAAACCCAAATCTCAAACCTTTTTTAATTTAGATTTCAGATTGAGTTTTCAGAGCAGGTAGGTTTAAAAACAAAAACAAAAAACCCCTCAAGCACAATTAATTTTTAAACTGGAAGTCAATGACCCAGAGTAAACATGTAACCACATGTTGCAATTTTAGTCACTTCTCTGATGTGTAGTATAACCTCAGTTTTTGCAACACTATAAATATGTCAGTTAGCGGTTTGATTTTTCTTTTAACTAAAATAGTCATACTAGTACAACCCCTAATATGGACACCGTTATACCAGTATAAAACTGCCAGTGTAGCTTAATCCTCTTCCAGTATGGAAATATGCCATACCACTAAAAGCACTCTTCTACCAGTAATAACTGTATTCACAGTAGGGGGTGGTACTGGTGTAACTATACCGGTATAGTTCAAGTGGTACTTCTGTGTGCAGACAAGATCTGTGTAGAACAGCAGTTTACGTATCCACATCCAGCTGGGTTTCCTCTAATATATATAAATGTCCTTTATCTCACAGGTGTGATGTTCATGGGGTCCTTATATCTCTCATACATAGCTATCAACCTTAAGGATTTTCCAAACCTCACCTTTGAAGCCAGGTTTTGTGAACATAGTGATTGGATGGTTGCTCCC